GCTTTTATTATGCCACAGTCGAGCGCTTCCGCTGCTTCCGGTCGTGTGTGTGTGGGTTAAAGCTGCGGAGCTTTTATAATGCCACAGTCGACCGCTTCCGGTCGTGCGTATGTGGGGTAAAGCAGCACTGTTTTATCATACTAGATACATTTAGTTCTGTTATAATGCTACTCTGTGCGGTTGTCACCGGTCTATTAAAACGCACAACATATTAAGGCCCAGATCACACCGAATGCGGTTTTTTGGTCTGAAAACACGTGGCACTGCCTTTTTTTGGTGACTTTAAAAGTAAAAGAGCAGTGCGCTGCATTTTTTATGTTGCTAGGCAACCACCAAATCAGCTGTCCTGTCAGTCTAATCAAAGGATTATAGCGAGAGCGCTCTAAAATCGTTGGTTTTTGCTGCTAAGTAAACTGTCATATTAGCAGAAACCTTAAAAAATACAGCTCCGGGTAACCCGCGACAGACACCAAAAGTTTCTCCTCCATCATTGCCGTTTCCGGCCTTTCTAAGCAACGGTAAACATTCGTCACCACAACGGAAGGCCCGCATCTCCATTCATTCTATTGGACAATGGAAAAAAACGCGAATGACGTCAGGCACTTTTCTGCTCTGAGTTGCTTTTTTTTCAACTTCAGGCGCTCAGAGGTGCCTGGGGTGCATAAACAGCTCGCAAAACGCTCACTGCCAACAGAAAACAATTTTAAAAAGGCACCTCTCACTGCAAAAAGCACGTTCTGTCTGATCGGGGGCTAAAGTGTCTTTGGTGTTTCCATGTTTTCTACAAAACAAAACCGGAAATCGAGGGGTTATGATGTCATTGGCAGGCGACACAATGACACTATTGACACGGGCCCTGTCACTAGTTAAAATTGCTTGTTTCTCTGGATTTAAACATTTGGGATAATGTAAGTACACAAGTCAGCAAATATATAACACCGTTCTAGTGGTTTTTGGATATTTTAATAAAAAAATCTAACATATTTTGCCTTTAATGCACAATTACCATTTTAGATCGACAAACTGTACTGTATAAGATTTCTATTCAAACTGAAGGCATAAATCTTTATGATCTTTAGCTAAATGACTAAATGTACATGTAAATCTAGGCTACCCGCTAACGTTTGCAAAACTGTGACATTTCGTTCACTGACGCTCTACAATCGGCAAAATAAAAGCTTGCTGATTTTAAGTTTGAAAATGAAAAATTTAAATAATTCAAATTAAAAATAACAATTAAGGTTCAAATAAAATAAAATAAAATAATAATAAAAATATTAGCATTTTATTTTTAAGTTTACTATAAAATAATTGTATTTCTATTAAATACTCCCTTTTTATTTAAAAGATAAAATAGTATTATCACACTTTATTATTTAGTTTATTATTATTATATATATTTTTTAACTAAATAACATGCAATAATATTATCACTATTATTAATTTATTTTTTATAGTTATATTTGATGGGTTACACCGTGTGAGGGCCAAACCAACCTCCAGGTTCTCATATGAGAACCAGCTGAAAAACTTATGCGCACCCCTGCATATACTCAGCTGTGAAAAACGTATTTGCCCCCATACTGATTTATTCTGTTTTGTGTACACTAAATAGTGTCATACTAAAGTGTAGTCACTGGGTAAGACCTTTTAAACAACTTCATGATGTTGAAAAAGTTAGATCTAAGTCTATTTTGTATTTACTCAAGTTGCTTTTGCTTTATGTTAGGTTTTAATTTCTGAATCAATTTAGTGTGACACACACACACACACACACACACACAAAGAGCACTTTATGATCACAGTATTCTCTTCTCTTCACTGTAATCTAGTGTTTTATATATTTTTATTCAATTCTAGGAGGAGCTCGATACAGCACTGGAGTCCTTACAGGAGAAACTTAAAAAGAGAGGTAAAATGAAAGGAGAGTTTGAGAAAACAGTTCAACACATCAAGGTGAGGAAACACAATCAAGAGTCATTTTCAGTACAGCTGTAGCATCACTAAACACAATTATGATTTGTTATATTTAATATAATGGATTCCAGCTGATTATTTCTATAAATTTGCTATTTGCTAACAGTCTCAAGCTGAGCACACAGAGCTTCATATTAAACAGCAGTTTGAGAAGCTTCATCAGTTTCTCAGAGATGAAGAAGAAGCTACAATCACTGCACTGAGAGAGGAAGAGGAGCAGAAGAAGCAGATGATGAAGGAGAAGCTGGAGGAGATGAACAGACACATCTCAGCTCTTTCACACACAATCAGAGACACGGAGGAGATGATGAAAGCCAGTGACGTCTGCTTTCTGAAGGTCTGATTTCAGATCATCCATTGATTGATTGATTGATGATTGATTGAGTTCTTGATGATCAATGGTGTGTTTGTTCTGCAGGAGTTTCCAGTCACGATGGAAAGGTGAGTGATCTGCTGCTGTCTCTGCTCTCTCTGCTTCTGATCCAAAGCCACTGCAGTTCTGATCCTGAATGTTCTTCCAGAGTCCAGATCTCATCACAGCCGGATCCACAGACGCCTTCTGGAGCTTTGATTCATGTGCCGCGTTACTTGGGCAACCTGCCCTTCAGAGTCTGGAAGAAGATGCAGGACATCGTCCAAAACAGTGAGTCTGGAGAAGATCTGTGCTGTTACACCTGCCTGGTCTCATGTTTATACGTAGGAATTAATGCGTAACATTTACAAGCACAAAACGTACATTTTGTACGTTTTTATTAATGCTAAAACGTACAATTTAGACGTGTTTCAACGTTTAAAACGTACAAATCGCTATGTATTTTTAGCTAAAAAACGTATAAATATTTACGTATCTTTTATATCATTAAGATATTCGTATCAATGCATTTTTATCATTTTATCAATAAGCGATTTAGATTTTTAGACCCCTTAACCTACCCATTTTATAGCGAATATAAAAGGATATAAAACGCAAATGACCGAAATATGCAGGAAAATAACCATTTTAGTAACATAGCATTAAAATATTTTTATAGTCTCTAATCCCACTCCTACTTATAAACCTAAACATTTCTGTACAGTATAAAAAACATGACAGACAGATAAATGCAATTACAATCATTTATTTATTGCAAAAATGTCAAAAGCAGCACCAAATGTAATCCAAATGATGCGTTGCAGCCGCAGTCCTCTCTGGCCGAATAAAGGCTTGGATTTGGGTCTGTTCCTCGCAGTCGTATGGATTCGGAAGATACAGTATCAAACGCAGCACTGAGATCTAGTAGTACCAGCACTGATATTTTGCCAGATTCAGAATTTAAGCGAATATCATTTATTATCTTAATGAGTGCTGTCTCTGTGCTGTGATGCGGTCGGAAACCAGATTGAAAATTGTCCAGGTATCCATTTGAGTTTAAGTATTTGTATTTAAGTATAATAACGCAATTGAAAACAAGCTAATTCATGAGACAACTAAAAACTAATAAAATTAATGCCGCGATTTCAATATTCATAAGGATTCATTTTTAGGTGTCGTCAATACATCAAATGCTGAAAATACGTAAATATTTGTACGTTTAGATGCTGAAAATACATCAGAATTGTACGTTTTAGTGCCTGTAAAAACGTAAGTAAATGTATGTTTTATAGACCCACATGTGACGTAAAATACATACGAATTATCATGAGATCACATTGGTTACACACACACTGGAAATGACGCATGAGGGAATATTGACAGATTTCAGCATTATGTGTGAATAACCAGATGAGCTACTACACCAAAATGAGCCGAAAACAAGAGAAGAACAACTTTGGTCCACATGATATTTACAGTTACAGTGATACAGCAGATCTCAGTTCAGTTTGATTGATTGGCAAATCTAAAATATTTACTGTAACAAACACTGACAGTGATCAGAGGAAAATGTCTGATGTGTTTGATCAATAGGACGAGTGTCATAATTCATAATAATCTGTGTGCGGTTCACTCTTGATCATTAAATGAACATCAGAATAAAAGCAGCTGTTGATTGTGTCTCATCAGCTCCTGTGATTCTGGATCCAAACACTGCAGCTCCATATCTCGTCTTGTCTGATGATCTGACCAGTGTGAGATGCAGCGGAAACAATCAACTGATTCCTGATAATCCAGAGAGATTTAACATCTATCCGTGTGTTCTGGGTTCAGAGGGTTTTAACTCAGGAACACACTGCTGGGATGTGGAGGTTAAAGAGAGTTTAAGGTGGATTCTTGGAGTAACTACAGCATCAAACCAGAGGAAGGGAAGTGTTTTCTTTAACACTGATGTCTGGAGTGTGACGTACGGATGTTCTGATCGGTATGGTTTTGGTGTTAAACAGAAGCTTGAGCGTGTGAGAGTTGATCTGGACTATGACAGAGGAACGGTGTCCTTCTCTGATCCTGTAACTAACACACATCTACACACATTCACAACCTCCTTCACTCACACACTCTTTCCTTTCTTCTTCTGTGGTTACTCGTGCTCTCTGAGGATCTTAGCGGTCAATAGTCAGTAAACGTTACACCTGTAGGTCTGGATCGACCTGCTTTCATCTTTTACACTCATCATGTTTCCAATATTTAATCCATATCACAATTTCAATATTTGTTCAACATGAGACTAAACGAATAATTGTTTATTTCAGTTATAGAGGTTAAATTATCATTTGTTCATTGATGTAAATGGATGTAAACGTCCTTTTTAATCCACATCGATGTTGAATGAAATATAAATACTTGCTATAGAAATACTTGAGTAAAACTGTTTATAAAAATCTGATTCTCAGAGTATCTGGGACTCACTGAAAACTCCTTAAAAGTTCGACTCAGATTCTTCACAAATTTTGATAATCCCTTGAAAATGTGATTATATGATTTCAGTTATGAAAGGTTAAATGTTTGGTCATGATAAGTAGGGTTTAATCATGGAAATGCATTGAGTGGGAACCCTGAGATTTGATTATTTATGTTTCCCAATAAATTAATAAATGAATGTAACTGACTTGCTTCAGAGCAGCTTTACTGACTTTCACTGAAATTATGCTTTATTACAACACGACAGTCATAATAATAAGAAACAATCAGATTAAAAAGGAATAACTCAGCATTCAAATGTTTCTCAGGAGGAGGATTTATTTATTTATCTGAAAAAGGTTTCATTAATGTCAAATACTAAAATGGAAATGCACTTTAACAATGTAGTTGATGCATCTAAATTACACTTTGAATTATATACAGGCCTATATTTTTAATTTAAGAGATTTAATAATAGAAATAAAAGGCATATCCTCCTCTAACAACCAGCTATGGAGTTTCGTCCTCTGTAGAGTAGAGGACATTATGTTTTAGCGATTCCTCTGAGACCTTACATGTCACAGTTTTAAGTCCTGTAAAGAGCACACTCAAATGTGTGGATGTTTCATCATGACCACTCCCTCTGCTTGGTCGTAAAATGCCTTACATTCATTTAGTGATCAAATGCAACACCCTTATGGAAATATGATCATATTTTGTAACGATCATTTAAATCGGACAAATTTTCCAATTGTTTGTCATAAATCAACATCTCAGGAAAATGTTACTGGGTTTCAAATCAAAATATAACCTTCTGCTATGAAACAGGACATTGATTTCATACATATCCACTGTAGAGGACACCAGGACTAAGAGCATGTTTATTATAAATATGAAGATCTTGCCAATAATAATCACTCCCCTTATTACACTTCTTATTTCATTACATGTTGCCCCAAAAACAAATTAGCAAATTAGATACAGTGTATAGATACATTGTACATAATGTACAACCCGTTTATGGCCATTTTACTCACATGTTGTATAAAGCAAAATGGTATATTAAATCATTCTGTTATATATTTCATTACATTTACATTTAGTCATTTAGCAGACGCTTTTTTTTAGTCCCATAACATAGTTCAGAATAATTTTTATACAAATAAGAATGTACTGGTTTTTGCCTTTTCATGTCTTTTTATTTATTTTAAAAACAGGACTTTTTAAAGTCCTGGTGTCCTCTATGTAGGACGTAGCATAACATGAATAAAATATTATTATTTTTTTTCAAAAATGTTATTTAACAAAAAAAATTCTTATGCTCTAAACAATGAAAAAAAATGTTGTAACTTTTTTTCTGGTAGTCAGGAGGATATATGCTATGACTTATGATTAATTTAAATAATTACAGCAGCCTTCTGTCCCGATTCTCAGGGATTCATCTTACCTCAAAGTGTCTAACTTTAACTTTAACAGTACGAATGTGAAGCAGCTTCAAGGGCCTGAACTCTTTTGTTTATGTAGCAACACGTCACGTGATCGACTATCAGCTAGCGTGGTCACGTGACGCTCACCAGCCAATAGGATTGCAGGAGTGTGGCACCATCAGAGATCAGATGAAGAGTCCTGAAACGCGTCATGCACTTTAATAAATAAACAAACAGAAAACGAAAGCAAAAGCATAACACATAATAAAATAACAACATTAAATCCAGGCCTGGTCTTCTTTTGTCGTTACTCCTCCTTTTATCCAGCCGGAGCTCCTCCGTTGGACTCGAGACCGGTGAGTCTTTAACAGTACGAATGTGAAGCAGCTTCAAGGGCCTGAACTCTTTTGTTTATGTAGCAACACGTCACGTGATCGACTATCAGCTAGCGTGGTCACGTGACGCTCACCAGCCAATAGGATTGCAGGAGTGTGGCACCATCAGAGATCAGATGAAGAGTCCTGAAACGCGTCATGCACTTTAATAAATAAACAAACAGAAAACGAAAGCAAAAGCATAACACATAATAAAATAACAACATTAAATCCAGGCCTGGTCTTCTTTTGTCGTTACTCCTCCTTTTATCCTGCCGGAGCTCCTCCGTTGGACTCGAGACCGGTGAGTGGCGCAGGTGTCCTCATTATCAATTACTCCAATTGATCCAGAGCTTATCGAAATTTTTAAAAACTACCTGGACTACCCTTTACCTTCATCCACGCTGGGTGAACTTAAAGGGGTCCTATTATGCTTTTTCACTTTTTCAACTTTAGTTAGTCTGTAACGTTGCTGTTTGAGCATAAAAAGATCTGCAAAGTTACAAAGCTCAAAGTCCACTTCAAAAGAAGGTATTTTATTTAACAGAAATCACTTTTCAAAAACAACAACGAACGACTTGTTTGGACTACAATGCATATTTTCCAAGATATTTTACAATCATCCGGGTTTAAATCGCGCTCAAATTGATTTGATTTTGACGAAATATTTACACTGAAGCTCGCAGGCGGCTATGGTAAGGGACATGACATTTCCCGACCAGGCGCCGAGTGGAGCAAATCACAACACACACTGGCCCAGCTAACCAATCACAGCACATTTCATATTTCAGAAAGCGATTTGATACAGGAACTATTCGAGCCGTTCATGCCAGACTGGGGAGAGAGGTGTTATAATAATGTAAAATATGAGAAAAATACTGTGTTTTTTGAACAACCTAGTATGAGAGCCTGTTCTAGTAAACCCCCAAAACAAAATCAAGACTTTGTAAAAGAGCATAATAGGACCCCTTTAAGACTTTGGGTTTTTGGGGTTTCATTGACTACCTCACTTACCGAAATGAATTGTCTAGGAGGATAGAAAGGTCTTTGTTAGCAGCAAAGATGGCTCCTATGCCAGAATCTCCAGCCAGCGTGGGTGTTACAACTAAGCTTTCAGCTGTCACCACCTTTGTGTTCCCGGTCATTGTGAACAGCACCACTGAAGCTATTAAGGTAACCCCAAGGCATTTGAGACTGGTCTCTAAGTTAGAGCAGATGCCCCTTACATCGGTACGCACCGTTAAGTCAAGCATAAGGGCCTCAGCGACAGTTCTGCTGTTTACTGCACCTCCCATTACTCGCAATGGACATTGTGAGTATGGGGACTGCAGATTGTTATTCAGCCTGTGAATCCACTCCAGAGTTTGTACCAGCCCAAGAATCTACTCCAGTGCCTACTCCTGCCAATGAGTTTGCTCTGGAGTCTGCTTCGGCCCTTGAGTTCACTACAGAGTCAAGTCCAGGTCAAGAGTCCACTCCATAATCCGCACCAGTCCAGGAGCCCTCAGAGTCTGCTCAAGAGCCCGCTCCAATCCAGGAATCCTCAGAGTCCACTCCAGAGACTGCTCTAGTCCAGGAACCCTCAGAGTTCACTTAAATGTACACTTCAGTCCAGGAGCCTTCAGAGTTCACTGATGAACATGCTCCAGTCCATGAGTCTGCTCCAGAGCTCGCCCCAGTCCATGAGTCTGATCCAGAGCGCACTCCAGTCTGTAAGTTCACTCCAGAACCCACTCAAGTCTACGAGTTCATTCCAGAGTTTACTCCCATCTATGATTCTGCTCCAGAGCCCACTCAATTCTATGAGTTCATTCCAGAGCTCACTCAGTCAATAAGGCCACTCCAGAGTAAGTTCTGGTCTATGAGTTTGCTCCTGAATCCGCTCCAGTCCAGGAATCCACTCAAGTTTTTAAATTCACTTTCAAGCTCATTCCTGTCCAGGAGTCTGCTCCTAAGGCAACTCCAATTCCTCTTGAGATGGCGGCTTCTGCTGCAGAACCTCCCGAAGTGGCGGCAGTGGCCGCTTCAGCTCCTCTCTGGGCGATGGCGCCCACTCCTGAAATATCAGTCTCCCCCAACACGATCAGAGAGGTCGTACCAGCACTTCCTGTTTGCTTCGTGACCACAGAGGTCATGCGTGAACTGTCTGTCTGCTCCAACATGACTAGAGAGCTTATAACTTAACTTAATGGGAAGACCATAGTAGCCAACCTGGGTAGCCCTATGGAGGGTGCCTCTGAACACCTTACCTGTTCTATTACGGTCCCTGTGGCCAATACTAACCTTTCTGTGCTTTGTGTTACAGGCTTGCCTGGTCTAGCCATGTCTGTTTGACAGATCTACCCTGGGGTCTATGATTCCGTCATGGTTATTTTCAGCCCTGCCTGCTCTGCCATGGGTATCTACAGGCCCATCTGCGCTGCTGTGGTGGTCTTCTGCTCTGCTGTGGGGACCTTCGAGGCCGTCTGCGTGACTGTGGTGGTCATCTGGTCCGCTGTTGGGATCTACAAGCCCGTATGTGCTGCTGTGTTGGTCGTTTGTTCCGCCATGGGGGTCTACAGCCACGTCTGCGCTGCTGTGGTGGTCTTTTGCTCCGCCGTGGGGGTCTTCAAGCCTGTCGGTGCTGCTAGGGTGGCTTTCTGCTGGACCCTGGACATTTGCTGCATGTATTACCCAGTTAGCCCTGCCCTGGATTCCTGCTCGGCCATCGTCGGCCATTTCCCAGACTACATTGCTCTGTCTCATGTGAGATAATTGTTTGCACCTGCTTCCATTTGGATCATTAGGGTCCTGCCTATATAAGCTGTGTTTGTCTCTACCATTGTCATTGAGGTTTTACATTGTTACACTGCCTTCTGAGTTATTTCGGTCTTGTTTATGTTTCATGGTTTTTGAATCTCTTGCCTGTTTTGTGGATTATCCTTTTGCCTTGCCCTCGGGAATTGTTTCTTTTGGATTTACTGGTTTTGACCTTCTGCCTAATCTTGGACCGTGTATTTGGATTTTGTCCTGTTTTCAATAAACGCTGCACTTGGATCTGCAACTTATAAATCTCGGAGCAGTTCATGTGACAATACTAAAATGAGAAATACATGAGATTCACAACTAAGACACCTGAGCTTAGAAGGAGCAACCACTGAGCAATAAAATATTCCTATAATGGAGTCTTGATAGAGATTTCAGCAAGCCAATAAAGACATACTACCTGTTTCTTCCACCACATTCTCAGTTTTGACTCTTTTGACAAAAATGTGACCTTATTTTGAGTGTGAAAAATCTGTCAAAAGAAGGAGATGTGACAAAAATCTTCCACAGCTGTAGTGCCCCACTCCCCGTCTGCTTTTGGCATGAAAGAATGGGAGTTTTCAGGTGACAGCATCAGTTTGTACACTTCAGTCAGTCAGACAAAAGAACAGAGATGCTGATCAGCCACCAAATGATAGCATCAAACAAGAAATCAGTTAAATAGGGAATTAAATCATAATGTTGTATTTAGTAGGGTA